GAGTAGCCATTAGAGTAGCAATTTGTTTTTGTCCTTACCCCCTGAAAATGAACTCCACCTCCCGTACCTAGCGTGTACAGATACGCAGAACAAGTCACAGCACAAGGCTTTTCTGTCTTTTAGAAACAGGATTTTGTTTCCTTCCTTACAAAAAGATTTTAGGAAATTACTGCTAAAGTTGTTTGTATGTGTAAAAACTACCATTGGCTGATCTATGACCATGGGGACTAAAACCACGAGCTGCTATGGCTTAAGCTCAGTGCTTAACTTTTTCTTTAGCTCTGCGTGGACTCAGGGTGGAAACTAGACTTCCTATTACCTGGTGGATGTCACAACAAATACCGGCTTGGCGGCCATGGTATATATCTGGAAGCTCTGCCTGCAGAGACCACTAGCACGTATTTTACAAAGAGGAGAGAAAGCAAGGAGTAATGGCGGATCTGTTTGCTTCAAACAGGGATGGGTCTAGCCGAAGGAAAGCTGGGATGTACCCAGCGCTCACCAACACTGTTCATTATAACCTGTTCCATCTCTGTTATTTCTTTTCAGGATCCTGCTGTTTTAGAAGCTCATTGTACCTACCTTACCTCAGGCACTGCTCTCGTGCTGTGTCTTCAGAGGCCAAATGCTGTGAAGAAGCTGATAGATTTACTGGGACCAGAGGATCCTAAACTAGCCCAAGCACTAGATCCATTCCTCTGGAGGGCTCAGTATGGCATCAGCACAGTCCAAAATGGATTTTACGGTAGGTTTTTGTAAAAGAAAAGTCTGAAGGCTCAGATATGCCAATTGAAAAAATATATTATGTACTGTTACCTCCTGCATTGTCAATACAGATCTGGCCTTGGCAGGCAGTAGAGACCGTTATTCCCCAGAAAGCCTTCATTTTTTTCTTGGTGGCTGAGCTGAGTATGTCTCAAGCTATGAAATATTCTCCCAGAAGATATGTTAAAAAAAAGTTTCTTCCCAGAACAGCCCTAGATCTGTCTTCGATCAGAACAGATTTCCTTTGATCTCTTCACTGCTTGGTCATTTTGTACTTTTAGCTTGGTTATTTTGTAATTATCCCCAAGAACCCATCTGTCTTCTATCTGCTTATGAGTCCCCTCCTGATAACTTCATAACCCATTGGCCAACTGCAACCAGATTTCACAGAGGGATAAAAGACTCCAAGATACTGAGTTCCTGTAACATCTCAAAACATTAATGACCGGCTAGAAAGAGGTGATCAAAAATTGCTCTCCCTGAGGAAAGCAGGTAAACTCAGCTGTTTTCCATTCGGAGAGGCTCTTGCCAGCTGGCACATCAGCAGAGGCACACCAGCTGGTCAGCATCCTCACTGTGCTGAACCAGTCACAGTTCATCTGCCAGCAGGGAGGGAACTAGGATGTTGCAGTGCGTATGTGGGGTGGGTGGGATGACAGATAGCCGAGAGTGTGGGTGAAGGATGGGAAAATGGGAAGTATTGCTGGAGAGAGTGGCCTATAGAGAACCAAGGGTATTGCTGGAGGGGGCCTGGGCTATTGCCACAAGGAAGGAAGGATGTAATTCAAAAATTCATGAGGAATTAAGCATCATTAGTTCACTGCCCTTGAATAGTGTTTTTTCCTCAGTGTGGTACTGATTGTGCTGTATGTAGTTAAGGGAGTGTAGAAATAATAAAAGCAATAGTTTCTATAAACGCAGGTGAGGCAAGCAGGCACTGTATGCCTTCAGGTTCCAGAAGAACTTTCCTGTCAAGATCCATTGGATTATTTGGCTCTTTCTGTTGTATTCTGTGCTGTCAAACCACTCCCTCTTTTCGTCCGTATCAAGTGGTCTTTTGAGGAGAACTGGTAGGGAATGAAGTAGCCACCATGTACAGCTTGGGGAAGAGAATCAACCCCTTAATGTAGAATCTTTTTTTTATCAGATATGATCATAATCCTTAGGACCAAGACTAAACCGAGAGAGAGATCTCCCCAGGGTTACTCACAGGATCTCATTCGTGGGAGTGGCTAAAGAGCAGGATCTACCTACACAAAAGAAATGGTCAGGGCTCTTCAGCCAATACTTTTCCGCTATCAGCCTCTGTTTCTTTTGCTCTTAAGATTAATGGATTGTGTATCCAGGTTGCCTTGAGAATGAGAACTCATCAGTCCTGGCTAAGAATGGGTGATATATACTCAAAACTTAAGATACCCATGCTACGGTTAGAGCATCCCTAGCATAACTCAGTTAAAGATTAGTTTATATTAGCAAGAGAGGCTGAGTCCCATCCTGTCTTTCGCTGGGAGTCACAGAGAACTCACTGTGTTAGAGAAGCCCTCAGATGTCTGCTTAGGGATTTCCTTCAGATCCCTGCTTCCTTCTAAGACCGGGCTGAGCACAGAGCTGAACTAGTTGGCCACCGCCTGCCCTCTGAGACCAGATTGTGCGTTATGTTGGAGCCAGCTATATAGCTGGCTCACAAAGCCGTCCTTCCACACATTCAAGGAAAATGGATGCAGGTGTAGCTAACGTACTCAGTAATTCTGACTCAAGAATCTGATCCAGCTGCTGTGCCAGGGAGGTGTCCGTCCATAAGGAAAGGAGTGTTCATAACCCCTTGCACCTCCAAGAGCTTGTCCTCCAATAAGGGTGAAGCATTTACCTACAAGTTAAGCAGGAAGAGCTTAATCATTGCATGAGTAATCATTTGGGGGACTGTGGAAGACCATCTTCCTTTCCTAGGAGGGAATAACGAGTTTTCTCAGTTTCGCTTCAGCTGAGGAAGATTTCTAGTTAATGCCATCTTGCTGAAGTAGGGCAAACTCTAGCTGTGTGTTTCCTCCCGAAGTGACTGGGGAAATTCAAGTAAGATGAAGACCAGGTTCCAGTGATACAGTCGAACCAAATAATGCAGTTTTAATACTCTGAGGCTCAGCTACAGAGGTAAACCTGCACTCCTGTCATCTCTTCTGGGTCTTATGAAGTCATTGTACAGTGCTTTTTCTTGAACCCAAAGAGCTTTTGCACATGCATCTTATACAGTCTTACACCTTGAGCAAAGTGAGGGTAAAATGTTGCTAGCTTTGGGAGCATTTGTGTCCTCTGTAATAGCATCAGTGATTTAAACAAGGAAGATTTGACATAGAGGTACATAAAGGATACAGCATGACTTACACACTGGTGACTTACACAGTCTTAGGATTGTAAACTACTGCATTAAGGACTCTGGCTATACAATACCTAGAATTATGAAGTTCTAACAGGGCTGAGTGCTCTAAGAGCAGTAAGACATGATTCTTTGAATGGGTAGCCTGCAAAGGTGGTAATATTTCAGAGGATATTTGCGTTTTGTGTATTGGTGTCCCAGGAGTATGAATCTGTGCCAGCACATTGACAATCTATCTGAAGTCCAGTTATATAGAAATAGCTTTTCCCTCTCTAACATTTTCCACCCACGAATCTCAAAACATTCTGAGTAGTGCTTTATAACACTGTTGCTTTATAGGGAAATATTCAGGTGCTAAGCCTGGAGGGACCTCTCAAGTCACTGAGTTCAGTTAATTCTCTCACAGACAACCCCATCATGTATTCCCTTTCATAAGCATCCACCCCAGTTGGATGGTTGTTACAGAACTTCACTGCTCTGATAGCTAGAAATCTTCTTACATTTTCAAACTTAAATATAGTCATATACAGATTGTATCCATTTGTTCTTGTGCCAATACCTGTACTTTAATGTTAAGTCGTTCTTTTTTCTTCTGTGACCTTTTCCACCCTGATGTGTTTACCAGAAATCAGATTCCTTCTCAGCTTTGTGTCATGTTGGGTCAAACAAGCCAAGGTCTTTTAGCTTTAACCCTTTAGATGATTCTCCATTCCTTCCGTGATCCTCACGTTCTTTCTCTGTACCTGTTCCAGTCTCAGTTTACCTTTTGTGGCCACAGGTGAACAGAAAAATACACTGCTATCAGCAGTGTCTCATACTAATTCTGATTTCTGTTGTAAATCAGAGCCCCCAGCATATTTGAGGCTTACATTATTGTTACTAAGCACAGTTGTTTTACTAACCAGTAGCTCCTTCCTATTCCGTAAGGCCAGCCTGATGTGATCCAGAAGCAAGGGAACAACAATGGGGGACTGGAGCTGGTATTGAAGAGTTTCACAGGCTCCTTAACACGATTCCCTTGACTACACTGTTAGGAAATAGAAGGAGTCTCGTTTACATGAAGAACAAGCTGAGCGATAATAGGACAGAATCAAAATACCAAGAAGGCGATGGAACTATTCTAAATATAATGGTTTTAAATGTTTGCTATTACTGTACAGAACAGCTGGCCTTTAAAGCAATTACTTCAGTAAGTTGCACATCATCAATCTCTCAGAAAGATGAGTGTGAGTCTAGAGAATGTTTAATTCATGGCCTGAGAGAATCTTCTCATTGTATTTATCTCTCAGGCTCCAAATCCTATCAAATAGCTGTCCGGGATATGAAGCTGTTTTTCCCAGAAGGGCTGTGCTGCGCTGAGTGTCAGACATTAGAGGAGGAAGAGGTAGGATTCTGCCCTTTCCTGAGAAGTATCCTGCTGTGTCAGAGCAATGGCTTTGGCCCTGCTATCCCATGACTTCTTTCCTATTATGCTTTAGATAATGCTTTTTTTGCTGTGTCTCACCAGCTGCTGAGTTTTGCTTCTCCTGTGGATGTTCCTACCACAACGTGCTAACTTTGTATTGACCCAGACAGTCTCGGTGGAAAAGTGCTTTTTCAGATATGTTTGTTCAGTAACCCGTACCGTAAATTCAGGAGGGCTCAGGGCTCATACTTCAGAAGCACTGCCCTATTTGTGTGACAAGGGTGTTGTCCCTTGTGCCCTGCCAGCAGAGGTACCAGTCCACAGCAATGAAAAGGGTGGGGCTGTCTTGTGTAAGACGTCTCCTGCTGTAAAGTACGGGCAGTTTACAGAGCTGCTGGGTGCCAGCATCCTTCCCTGCCCACAGACAGAGGCATAAAGACTCGAACTCTTGCCTCTTGGCTTGCATTGTAGGCAGCGCGGAGAAGCCTACCAGTACTGGTGTGGCCCGCGCCTGCTCATCTGGCCCTTCACACTATGTAGCTTCTGGTCCCTGATTCAAACCACTGTAATTTGCCAATGGCTAAAATGAAACAATGTCTTTCCTGTTCAACTAGTTTTGTATGTCATTTACACGCTGATTGTTTTCTTCTCAAAACCAGAGTTTGAAATGATTGGGTTATGCCCAATGAAGAGATGGAAGTTTTTGAGCCTTGCTATGTGCACATGGCAGAGAGGTGACCCAGCTGAGTTTAGTCCGAGGAGATTAGCTCTGGAACTGGAAGCAGCCAGCCACATCTGTAATATGCTTCGCTAATGTGGATGCCCTCCCTCTGCAACTCAGTCCAGAGCATCATGACTGCGCTGTGCTGGGACATGTGGATGTACCAGTTCATTCAGAGACAGAAGGGAGCCGCTACACATCAGTGTGGCACTGGATAAAGTTGTCTGGCCTTGAAAAGCTGGGAGCAGAGACCTTAGAAAGATGTCTGGATGTAGGACCTTTAAAAGGATGACAAGATGTCATACCGAATTAAGCCTCAATAAAAAAAAGAACGCATGCAAAATGTTCTTGTATCTCCAGACAAGCAGGTGTTTTCTAAGCTGGCAATTACAGAAGTACACAACACCAAAAAAAGCTTCACAGCTTGCCTGAATCAATTCTGAAGAAGTGTTATCCTTTCTGATTAGGTAATGGTGCTCACATGACTTGCCTCTCTCTCCCTCCCTTCCCTCCTGCAGATCTATAACCTGAAACGTGACCCCATAGTCAGTTTGGAAATCAACAAGCAGCGCAAGATCATAAAACGTGAAACAGGAGGGCAACTCAATTTATTGGGCTCTGAGCAACCATGCAGTCTTGGTAAGGAAATGCATAACTCTCGTTATAGATTGAGACTGTTATTGATTAATTGGACAGCAAGACAAACCATCTGGTGGCAGCAAGATTTGGTATTGATGTCCTTTCAGAAGGGAGAGACAGCTCCGAGCTGCAAAGAACAGCTCCAGTGGAGTCCAGCCATTTAACTGTTTACCTGCCAGGCCTTTCCACTGCCAGTGCTTTCATGAGTTCAAATACAGGGCTGTTCAGAGGTGCTGACCTTATCACCCGCAGAAGAACAAACACTTTCAACCCAGCTAGCGTAAGCAACAGCGCATGTTTCTCTGCTGAAATTTTACAATGCGTTTCAACACCAACTTGGCCACGGTGGTTTGCATGTCCATTCAAAGCCTGCCACAGGAGAGGCCAAGACACCGTAGTGACGGGCATTTATGAGACATTTTGTTCTGTGAGTAGATAAACAACAATTTATGCAGGGAGTGCTGTTGGCAGTGTGGACATCTAACTCTCGGGAACTGGGCTGAGATCTCATTCAATTCCCACTAGCTGCTGAACAGCTGCCAGCTCAAAATGACTTTCAGTTGTCGCTGGTCTGACTTTGATTTGAAGCTGAAGCTTCAGCAAGCCTGTCAGTTCCCTCAGATGCCTACAGTTTCTCTGGGCCTTCTCTGTAGATTTTACTTGACAGGCATGTATACAACACAGGCTGCGATGCAGCACCATACATGTCAGGAGTTGTAACTAACACATGGGGATGCTTCCACGTTGGGATATTGTGGATTGATCCCAAGCCTTTATAAACAAGCAGTGACCAGGTAGAGCATCCCTGTGGATCTCTCCACACTGTGGAGCAGATGTGTTTGGAACCGGGTCGTTCTCATTCCTGTAGCTTGAATTCTGATGTGACTGGCAAGTGGGAGGGTGGGCAGCTGAGAAAATGTTCCTGTCCTACACCTGATTGCTGCAGTTGTTAATCCCAGCAGTAAAACCACAAGATTGTTGTGGACTGGCAGACGAGTATGATAAAAATGCTACAGAATTAACAGACCGTCAGCTCCCACCTAAAACCCTTACTGATACAGGACTTTTGGGCATTGACCCCATACCAGCAGGTGCAAGGAGGATGGTGGTAAGTCAAGGGCTCCGCGTTAATGACAGCATAGCTGCCTGGTAGGCACCACGTCACTTTTGTGTAGGGGGTCTCTGAAGGAGGATTTTTCCCGAGGTAATTAGCAATGAATTCTTTCCACTGTCTTATGTTGGCTTTGGGCTATGCCCTACACATGCTTCATGGTCGTTACAAAAATCACAAATCCTCAGGCAAGCTCCTTTTCTTACATTGCACACTAATACATCGGAGACTGACTGCATGAAGGTTTAAGACTTAACTGATGCCTGCGGTGAGGGGTGAGGCCTATCTCGAAATGTTACTGACATTCCCAAGCCGTTGTATGAGTCCTGAAACGAGAGATTGGCAACTGTGTGTGTGTAACAGCAGCTTTTTGAGATGACCAGGCTGTTCTGCATGTAGCTGTCTGACCTTCTCGTCTGGGTAGCTGCAGAGATGTGATCACATCATTGTGTTTCCTGTATGTCAGCTCAAGCTGTGTTCAGAGCACAAAGCTGCAGTGAGAGGAGACTTGCAGGTGTTCCCGGTCCAAAATATCCTGTGTTGCTATTGCTGACAGGCAGGGTATTTCCCCCAACAACTTACTGCACGATGGGAAAGGGCCAGGCCTGTAGCACAGGTCTGCTGTGACTGAAGTGCTTCTTGATTTTTAGATGAGATTGCAGAAAATAAAATAAAAGAAATAGCTTGTTGTGGGGAGAGCACAAGTATTCTGCAAGCTTTGTACAGCCCAGTGTTGGGAGCAAATCTCAAAATATGTGCCCCTAATTTCCTGCGGCATGAGGATCTCTTTGCTTTGAAGATGTCTAAGCAGAGTAAAAAGGAAAACAGTGTTCAGCCCTGATGTGTTTGTGTCTCAGAAAATGTATTTCAAAGAGTTACTGTCCTGGAAAAGCAAGTACACGTGATCTCTGAACTGTCAGGCACAATATAGTAAGCGCCCCCAGCAAGGCAGACCCATCGTTCACTTTATGGTCTCATCTTGAACACTAGAGGTAGCTCTTGCACACAAAGAAACCTCTCCTTTCACCAAATAATTATCACAAAGCCGCTGCCTAATGGACACACAGATTTATCGTGAGGAAAATATGAAATACATTGTCTTATGTATGCTGATGAGAATTACATTTTGGATTATAAAAGCAGCTGGATTAACAGATTTCTTTGCTTGGAAGAAATTAAATGGAATAGTATCTCCTGTAGCAAACCAGCAGCTGTCCTTGTCTGACTCCTGAAATGGGGTCACTACTGCTGTCTTGTGATCTCCAGATACACACACATAGGCATACAGCAGTTGGGCAGTTCAGGATGAGCAATTGCATCTGTGAACATCCCGAACGATATAACAATGCCTGAGAGCCTCTGATCTTCCAGTTACTTGTCTGTGGCAGGGAAGAATTACTTAGAGGACTAGCAGTTGAGGGGGGTAGATATAAAATAAGCATCTGTTGTGTTTTGATCTTTTCCCATCAGATCGGCCATTGCTTGATAACCTCTGCCAAACCACTTGCTTCGTATTGCCTGGGATAATCCTTCGGGGTTCAGAGCACCCACCTTACGTCGAACTGCTTGATCAGCTCATTGGCAAAGATTTCACAGTGACTGGAGTACGCCTCACTGTCCTGGATGGACCACAAGCTCACTGCATCTCTGAGACACTAAGCAGGGCAAAGTGCAGTGTTGCAGCAAAGGTATGAAACAGCTGGAGTTGTGCTTTGCTTCCAGCCTTTCAGTCATAAGAATGTTAGGTGTTATCTGTAATAAGAACAGGTAAGATCTTTTCAGGTTGTGATTTTTTAAACTGACAGCATCCCTTTGAAGTACCTCTGTATAGAATAGCAATTACATCTAGCATCCAATTAGTCTAAGCACTACTTTCTTCTCCTGCGGTTCCCCTGAGGATGCCATCCCTCTGCACACGGGAATGTGCACAGCTCTCTAGGAAGGACAAAGCGAATCAGCGTGTGGGAAGGAGAGCCGTGGCAGCGGCACTGCTCTCCTGGCGATGGAAACACTTCCTCCTGTCAGAGATGAATTGCTCTGGGCAGAGCTGGCATGTTTCCAGAAGGGTCTGGCACTGCTGAGCCAAAGGTGAACATTACAGCATTTGCTTTCCCTTGCCAGAAGAGAGATGGGCTCCTTCAATTACAATATCTCAACATTTACCGTTATCTCCGTATTCCTGCTTCCAGCAGACTTAGTGACTGAATAACACACCTAAGTAGCCTGCTTATTTTCACTCTGAGAGAAGGGAACAGGAATAATAGCATGCCATAGGAGCGGGATAGCTAACAGTTCAGACATGATACTCTTTCAGTTTGAAAGGGTCTGTTGCTTTGTGACTCTCATCCCCTCACACAGCACACAAGCAGTTATCTGTACTGTCAGCGGTTCATCAGTGAGGTTTACAGACTTATTTAAGTGGATAGCAACACTAAAGCTCTGTTCTTCCCTCTCTCGTAGTGTTCCCTCTTAATGGATGGTTTGTGTCTGGTGCTAGCAGCACAGCGAGACGATGCGGTCATTTGCTTCGACTCCCTGCTGGACAGGTAAGTGAGGACAATATCGCTTTAACAGCGCTGTCTCAGCCCCCTGCTAGAGAGCTTGTGATCTGAAGGAGGGCAGCTGACTTTCTTCTCTGTAATTCACTTCCAGTTCAGACTCCCATGAGGTCAGGTGCCACTCAAAGGCAACCCATTCTTCCTAAGTTATGTTGCTGTTAATGGGTCAATACCTCAGAGTGTTCCCCAGTTTCACAGTCATGTGTCCTATACTCAGGACTTTAAATACTGAGTTGTGTTGTTTGTTAAGGACTTGGGGTGTCTGTGAGGCTTGGTGGCGTGGTTCCGCGAATACAGGGAATTCTCTGAAATAAGGACTCACATTGGGAATAGACCTGCTGAATCAATAAAATTCCTAGGAGAAATATCTTAGCAGATTCTATGTTTGCTATGAAAAAAAACCCTTAAAATAAATTCCAGACAGCAAAATCAAAAATTAGTCTCTTAAATAAATCAGCAGAAATGCTGGGTAGAAGATGTATGAGCCTGATAAAACAAACAGAACCCCTCTACAGGGACTGATTAGTGAAATAGAATGATTATCAGGCCAATTAACCCACTGTTCCCCAGAGGGAAAGTTTCCTTGCACAGGGGCTGGTATTTGGCAATGCGATGTGTAATTCATGCACATGGTTTCCTCTGGGAAAGGAAGCCAAGAGAGGTTTTTTTCTGACACATTTGGTATAGAGCAGTCCAGCAGCCACACCGATAAGACTGTCGTGACTTTGGCTGTACCATCTGGAGGACTTCCAGGTAACACTGTCAATGGGACAGGAATAAAGAATTCAAGGATGCTGGAGTTTACAAGCATCAAGGGGGTCAAATCTGAACATCCAAGTTGGTAGACACCTTGGAGTTCTCGTACTTTGATGAAATACTATGGTGCTCGGTCACAAGGCCACACCTGGGAAGAATAGTTGGAACAAATTTCATCGGTAACTTTTCGAAAATGTTTTTAAGCTGATGACAAAATTTAGATACTGCTCCCATTCATTTAAAATCACACCCTTGGGAGCCAAATCCCAAACTTTTCACCCTGCAAGGTACAGCACTAAGGGGAAGCAGAGAGCAAGTTACCGAAGACCTTTCTAGTGAGTTTTCTCCCACTCTTT